GTGTGTGTGTGTGTGTGTGTGTGTGTGTGTGTGTGAAACAACCCTGATTTTATTGTTTCACTTTTTCCCCCTAACAGAGCACTTTCCTCTCAGACCTCAGGTTTACTTGTGGTTTCTAGAGTTACAAAAAATAGAACGAGGCTGTTTTTGTGGAACGAAGTTGCAGTTTCAGTCCATGAGGTCTGTCTACGTTTAACACCATACTTAAGACTTTCCTTTTTGAAAAATCCTACAGTTAGGGTTGATGTGGGTTTCCTGAGCAATCTCAAATGCTGCTTAGGGTTGACTACACCCTGTCAACTTTCAATGGAAAAGCACCTGGTTGGTTCTACTTGGATTAGAATCTGCATCTGAATTGGGTTAATGATTTGGTCTTGTTGTTTTTGCCCTGAGATACCTTTCGTTGTAAACTGGCGATACTAAATGGATTTGAAGGCGTTGGCAGGAAAAGGGCGGGACCAGTTCTCACCTTGAAGCTAACGTACTGCAGGTGTTGTGCGTGCTTCTTGATGATCTGCTGAATGAGGTCGGGATGAGTGGAGCGCAGGTAGGACGTGGCCGGCTGATTGAGCTCGAACTCGAACCTTCTCCACAGGTCGGGCGTGTGAAACACGTCGTTCCAGCGCCAGCACACGGACGAGGCCCGAGCCCGGTCCACCAGGGACAGGTGCTGGAAGATCTGCAGAACCACGTGGTGGGGGAGGTTACCCCAGTCCGGTGATGGAGGCAAGGGGAAACGGGTGGCCAGCCTCTTCTGTCTCTTGGCTGGCCCTTCATGGGAAGGGAAGGTTTTGAGACTTGATCTTCCTCGTTTCATTTTGAACCAAAGGATCTCACTGTAGGAGAGGAGAAGCAAAGATGTGAATGCATTCAAACTGAAAGGTTGTGGTTACAAACATAGTCTTTATTCACCTCAAACACTTAATTTTTGTCTGAAAAAGCGTCTTTCAGCAGTAAGGCCAGGTTAAAATACACTGCTGAAATCACATTTTTTGTGTTTCAGAGGGGAAAGAATTAAATTAATCAGACGACTGCTTTAGATTCCAACACCGGCAGGAATCAAACTGGCTAAACCTGTTCAGACCTTCACACTCCAGGAACAGTGTAAAGGACAAAGTTGCTGCTTCAACAGTTGAACAGGACGTTGTGTTGATGCTGAGGACAGCTTTGTCCCTGACTGAGCTGCTCTCTGTGCTGTTCACCAAACCAGGAATGATTACAGAGCTTCTGCTGTGGTTTTGTGATTTTGGGGAGTCAGCTGTGGTAGAGTGGTTAGTGGAGTCCTACTGGAACTGGTAGGTTGCTGGTTCAATCTCCCATTCCAGCTGTCTCAAATGTGTCCTTGTGGCAAGACACTTCACCCTCAATGCCTCTGATGAGTGTCCCATCAATGTATGAATGTTGATTTAAAGCACCGATTAGTCTCCATAGGATGATTCATGCTGTGTGAATGGGTAGTGAGGGCACAGTTTGTAGTGTAAAGCACTTTGGATAGAAAGGCTATTTCTGGACAAGAACATAAAGTGTTCACAAACTAATAACAGGTATTTCAAGCAGGTAATGGGAGTGACTAAATTCACAGAAAAGAGAATAATTTAATTTACTGCTGACATCTGGCTCTGTCTCTCATCATATATGGGTTTTTGTTCAGGTTTTGCTTCTTGGCTGTGTTTATCTGCTCCCCAGGCCCTTATTTAACACAGCTAAACAAATAAACAAAACAAAGAACTCGCCTCCCAAAACCTCTGTTTCAGGCCCTGTTCCCACCTGTAAATAAAAACACTTACCTTTTTATCCTTGAGTCTCTTGTGTGGTTTGTTATTGGTCTTGCTCACGTTGACTATTTTCTGAAACCTGATGAGGTTCTGAGTGTTGGCTCTCAGCTACTATCACAGCTAATTCTGACTAAGTCTTTAAAACTCAATATCCATTATTCTGATTTCTACAGTCGGTTACTTGTAGATGAACACAAATGATTATTTTTTGGAGTTGTAGACTCCAAAAGTGAATCTGTTGTAGATTTAAATGTAATGTATTTTTTTCCCCAGTGGTTCTTAAACTGTTCTGATCATTGGTAAAGATTGTGATTTTCATCAATGGTTCTTCAGTGAAACTTAATGTCCTTCTTTTGGGACTGATATTTATAGCATGACATTATTTTATCCCTGAAATGCTTTGATAGGAAAAAACAAACAGCAACACAACACTGTACAGGCAAAAGCTTCACTTGATACTTTGATTCTATACCTCACAGAAAACAGGTTTTGCTTTCTCACCTCCTGCAGTGATGCAGACCTACATAAAAGAGCAGCATTAAGGTCGTATTTCTCACAGATTCTATGATATTAAAGTGCTTTTGAAGTCATGAGTTGAGCCTCATGAAAACAGGTTTCAACAAAACAATTGACACTCCCTGGTGACTAGTTTACATTAAAGCATCACTTTTTTATTGGTCTCAGAATAATCTGATGGTACTACACAGACAGTAGGTACACTGTTAATGACTAATAAACATGTATAAATGTCATAAATAATGATAAATAATGTACTGTTTTACACTTTACAATATAGCTTACTTTGTTTGATAGGTGGTGTGTGTGTGTGTGTGTGTGTGTGTGTGTGTGTGTGTGTGTGTGTGTGTGTGTGTG